TATCATACCATTACTATTATTCAACCTTATGTAAATGGCATCTGAAAAAGAACTGAGGGTTGTAACATGGCGTGGTCTTGGATCGTTTGCATTGGATAATAACATGAACTCCCGTTCAGCCCGTTTTCTTTGTTAACTTCATAATTTCATGCGTTCCCTGCTGACAGTCTTTATTCTCAAGGCCATCTAGATTAGTCTACTTTTATAAGAGAAAGTTTCGTAACTTTCACATGGGGTTCCGTTGAGTAATTAGCGGCATATGAGCTCAAATTAGCGTCAAGGTTGTACTTATGAGGGTTTCGTGCTACGAGCTTCAATCTGGAAAGGGTGCGGCAGTCACTGAGGACAACACACTCAGTTGTAGTCCGCTCCTACTGAAGTTCGTTGCCGGAAATCCTGTCTGGAGCGCTTCGCAGGCTAGGCGAATTCGTGAATGTATTCATTGGGAACGGTTTCTCCTCTTTTCGGAGGAAATTTAGTGATGCTAGTTCTTTGAAATCAAGCATAACGACTAGCTGTGCAATGCTGAAAAACTCGATTTTCAATCGGAAAAAATGGGGAAAAAATAATAAATAAAAAAATCGTGAAAAATACGACGAAGGCAAGGTTCTGAGCCCTCAAGATCTACTACAACTTTATAGACCGTGTCCGCCGACAGTGTTTGTGTCACGCCATGGATTTCATAGAACGAGCCAGCTTAGTCATACTGTTGTTCTACATGAATTGAAAGAAGTGCTGCTTAAGGCAGTCGAGGCAATGCTCAATGTTTCCCGCTGAGGAATTAGAAACAGCTATTAGTCACAAAACAAAGTCCGTTGTAAAAACATTAGTCGAACTGGTAGCGTAGGAGGTATCATGGTCATTGACTCTTCGTATCATCTCTCAAGAAAAGAAAATATTCTTTTCAATAAACGTACTCAGCTCTGAGCCGACTTTTTCGACATTTCAACGAATCCAAGAGATTTTGCATGAACTGGAACACATGACAGTTAGATGCGGTAATACTGGGACTTGGTAATTGTGAGGGGAAAACGTCTCAGCAAAGTTTGTCTATCATACCATGGAGGAGCGGTAGGTGGTGTAGTGGCAAGTAGCACTTTGCTGCAGGCCCGGTGGTCAAGTTCCGAACCGGCTCCCGCTCATACCAACCAAGCCTTCTTTTTCTAGGGCGGTGATTTGGTCACAGATTCGTCCGCCCCTTCATTGTACAAGTCATACCTCATTGAAGAAGCCACTATGACTTTAAAAGGAAGTAAAATGCGTCCCACATACTCAAGTAGGGAATGATCAGCGGCGGAGACTTTATCCTATTTTTATGGAGGATCCATGCAGCAGCGGCTGAGCGTTGAGTGCGGGAATAGGGTAGTATTCCATTCGTTTGCATTGCATTCGTTTTGCGACATGAAGATGGATGAGGACTGCGACTCTTCTTTCCCTGTTCACACTCGGACCTTTCTGTCAGCTATCGTGCCATCTGAAACGATTCCGCGATTATCGCTTCGTTTAGGAGGTCGTTGACCACCAGCTGGGGTCGTGGAGTTCGATCTCCAAACTCACGTCTTTATTCCGAAGCCGGTCTTGATATCTGGCACTGACACTCCGATATAAGAATCCCGTCGAAAACATTGCACAATTAGCGAGCGAACGCTCTTTATATTGTATTAAAATCGTAGAGCACGGAGACGAGCCCTCAAAACTTCCGTTTTAGTCATTTTCTAGGAATAAAAGGAGACCCAATTATAAGTAAGGAGAGCGGAGTGGGGGGGAGTATTCTGGAGGCATCTTCGTGAATACGGGCTTCATTTAGAAGAAGCATCCTTCCTCACCCTAAGGCCTAGGCAGAAGTTCTCATCTCGATTGCAGGAATCTCACCTCAGCTCAAGAACTACTTAAAATGCCATGATCGCCAGAAAAACTCACTTTGAAACACTCAGCTCGCATGTACGCATTGAGGTGACACTCGACATTGCCTAAGAAATGAAAACTGAGGAAGTGAGATATAAATAGAGTGCACACTTCTAATACTCCACCCACTAAAAGAAATACTACAGGTTTCTAGCTAAGAGAGAAAAAAAGAAGGGGTCAGAAATGAGAATAGAAGCTGTTCTATGCGTGTAAGAGTAACCGTTAACTCATTCCTCCTCAGCGGAATTTGAGATAAGAACACTATCTCAAAGCCGGCTGAGGAGGAGTAAGTTAAACGGTTGAAGGCAGTTCCTCCGAGACTCTGCACCTGTCCATAGGCATTACCACTTGAGGTGTATTCAAAGGATGTATACAGATGCCAAGTGTAAGGTCATCTTACCCTGTAGCGTTTTTCAGGCTGACTGTATTAATGACGGGCGAATGCTATCTTCACGTCTTCTTTCCAGTGCATTCGAAATCGCTATGCACAAAGCGAAATCTGTCAAAGTGAGAAGCTTATTTGATTTCCTGAGCTCGTTTGAATTTTGAAGAATTCTGAGTATTCCACAGAATGATTGTTCCGCAGATATAACAGTCGCGATGCCTGACAACCTTTGTTCTCAAATCTTAGCTTAGTAAGAATTTTGGGAAGAGATTTAAGCGGTTTTTTCGTATGGAGTCAATAAACGGTAGATAGTGTAGTATTCAACGTCACCTGTGCCGTATCCTGATTGTGGGAACATTTCATCTGAAAAACATCCGGTAGGCAAGTGCAAAAGGGAGTCCTGTTGTACTTACGCTCTGAAAGATCCAAATAATTCAGCCGCAGAACCGATATGCATCTCATGGTCAGGAGCAATAGTTGTGAGCTGAAGTCGGTCTCGGCCCTCTAGGGTCACACCTGATAGACGTCCAGTTCAATCTGGACCTCTAAGCCTTCAAGAAATAAAAGACATTTCAGGATTTACGTTGTGGTAGCGGTGGCTGGGCTCCTGTTGGCTCTCATCTATCCTCTGAATCGCTCCGTATCGGTGACGGTCGACTCGTGTGATCGCGTGATAGTTCAGATTATCGCAAGTGATTGTAAGTTTTTTTTTCTTGAATAGTTTCCTTTTTGAGGCAAAAGCAGAGTTGCTATCCCCGACCAAATGTTATGTGTGCGCCACGAATTTGGCTTCCGTTCAGGATTGCCTTGGTCAAAAGGTATAGCTTGCGCTTTCTTTGATTGTGTTGCCCGCCTAATCGCGCATAAGTCTGGCATGTATGATATATAATACACATGAAACAGAAACTTTCGAAAAGTCAGGCAACCCTCTCCGAGGGTCGGAGATGTCATACGATCCCCCTCCTAACATGGGACGAAATTACGACCTCCTGCCCCCTTACAACGATGAAACAAGAAAAACCAAGTATCAAAATAAATTTTTCCCAGCTCAAATACGACCCCTCTCTCCAGCGACCTGATATAACCCCCTGGTGGGGATCCCTAACAATGATGTGCCCTGGGCCCGATGGAAGGGTAGTAGACAGCTGTAGAGTAGGGCGCGATAGTAGGGTAGCAGGAGCCGGTAGAGTATGCGGAGATAGGAGGATGGCAGATTGCTGGCAGAGAGCATGGCGCGATAGGAGGGTACCAGCTGTCTGCTACCCTCCTATCGCCCATACTCTCCTCTCCCGGACGCTGGTGACGCTGGAAGATATTGGCAGACGCTGGCAGACGCTAGATTGATATCTATGCTTTCTTAGTCGCTGACGTTGCCGAAAGCTTGAAGCGCTGGTGGACGCTTCCGCAAAGTATGAACGCTGCTTAAAGGCAGTTGGCACGATAAATCCCCCAAGACGACTAGGATCAATACTCCTGGCAGGATAGAATTCCGCGACCCTGGGCAGGCGCTGCATAGCGGTTTCCCCGAGGAAGGTGCCCTTATAAGGGCCCTATCAAGCCACAACTTTACGTCCCAAACGCCCCACGCCCGCCCACAAATGGACGACCGTTCCTGACGCTCGTATTCATTCATTTGCTAAGCAAATTATGAAGCGAAGGGATTGGTATGAAGCGGCCGTGATGCTGCATGCATACATGGGTACACATATGCAGCCGTATCTTCGGTAGCGGTGATTGGTAAGATGCCTACGGGAAACTCGTCCGAAATCGATTTACAAGTCACTGAGAACGGAGGCTTTTTCTTCGCAGGATTTTGACCGTTTCACTCCGTTCTTTCGCCATTTCCCCACTATACAGCGCCCTACTAGCATTTTAGGCTAAGTAGGAAACCATCGTGCCAACTGCCTTTAAGATAACGATGAAACCATAGTACTTATTTTACTGCGCACTTTTCATTGGTAGTGTGATTGTCACATGAGAAGAAGTCGACTTTTAATTCGTTTGCAGTGGCATCCAAGTGGATAATTCCTTCTTTCGGCTCTTCTGACATCGTTTTCAAAACCTAGTAGTATTTGAAAAACTCACTGCAACTCCCCTATTCTGCAAAATAGCAACTGGCACCGGAGCTACAGAAATGCCATTTTGCAAGAAAAAATAAACTAAAACTAAAACAAGCTAGAAGAACAAGGACTGTCGCTTGATAAGTTCGTAGTGTGGACAATAAAGAACACTGGTCCAGTAATCAGTACAGTTTTGATGAGCACCTATCACGTGCAAGCACTAGACCGCATCGCCCTCGCTTGCTACTGAAGCATCTAGAGCTGGCTAAGTATCCTCAGTTCTGAGTAGTTGGAGCAAGGTTTCAAAATTTCGCGATTACCTTTCAGAAGAGGTAGCATAACTCAGTCAAACCTGCTCGGAAAACCACGGAATCTGCTCCAGTTAAGGAAAATCTTCCACCCTCCAAGGCAAATGATTTGGCACCAGAAGTCTGGGAAGATAGAACTCTGAGTTGTAAATTGACCGGCCCACGCAAGGCATTGTGCAGTAGATCATGCCACATTCTGTGGGTGTTTGCGACTCAGGAAAAAAATGTGTGCCGCATCCCAAGAGGGATTTATCATTTGTGGAAACTCTATCCTTTTAGAGATGGCTTGAGAAACGCTCTCTTTCAGCCCCTTTGATGACGATGATAGAAAGAATTCATACGATTGGGAATCTGCTCTTCGCCATAGTCATTCCTATGTCACTTCTCGTCTTCATGACCGTGTCAGTGGTGTGGAAGCTGGTTCTGCAAAAGTCTTATCTCCCAAATTCGTCGCATTTCACGTGAGTATTCCGGCTTTTTTGAAAAAAAAAACAAGCTGTGATGAAGAACTATCTGTACTACAGTAAGGGTAGTTGTAGTAAGCAATACCTTACCTCAGTCTGATTGGCTCACTCTCGTTTTAAGACGGCTCTCTGCACAAGTAACTCTGTTCGCATACAGGCTACTCCCAAACAACTTTTATTACTTTTCTGTACAAGCGTAGTGTTGAAAAAAGCAGATAGTCATTAAAAGCTTGTGACGTGCAGCGATGTTTTAGAACTCCTGACCTCAACTAAGCTATCGTATTTTGGTGTGCTGTAAATGACTGTTGTGCTATTTTAGGTCCGAGAAACGGTGCGTGACAAGGATCACGCTCATAACGACAAGTCTTCAGGTGGGTGTCGTTTCTCGGTGACGCTGCCTCATTGACACATTTCTCGTGACTCGTGATTAGAATATATGCATATATTAGGTGGTTGTCACTTGTGGAAAAAGCAGCCCAACGCGCATGTAATTCCACTGGGGAATCTATTTATTAGGTTGAACAAAATGTCGCTCGTTATTTCAGTTGAAGACTGAAAGGTCTTCAAACTGAAACAGCGAGCCTTGAGTTGCATACGGGGTGTGTTTTATTGGAGACGCTTCAATAGTAAAAAATTAGTCGTAGATAGTAAGAGGAGTGTATGCTTACCAGCCGAGGGCAGTTCCCACTTGCTGTTCAGTCTGATATGTCAGGTGTGTAGCAAACTGCATCAGTTTCGTAGTAGTTTACATCTCTTTTCCAGTTACACTGCGCTCTTTGCTTGCAATAACCTGAAAGAGTCATCTGAGAGTAGGTCTCAGGAGATCCCCTCTGAGATTCGCAACTTTTTGGCTTTCCCAATCTGCCACATGCGGGCGTACATTCCTGTGCCATCATGAAACTATGCCTTTGCAACTTCGTTGATGGCACAGGAAACTGTTTTCTATGCAAAACCATTTTACCTGGCATTGCAGCTTTTCTGCTTGACGCGTCATATGAGCCCTCGTGCCTAGTTTACGCAATGCACTCGGTTTCCGATTGTTACTTTCGCCAGAAACTCTTTGCAATATGTAGGAAAAAGAAGCGATTCACCCACGATAATCCTATGGCAGCATTAATGGAGGGGTCATTTCTCGTTATGAGCTGTTGCTGAAAGGTTTGGGCTTTCGGCTGTGCGTCAAGGGCGCTAGTTACTAACGAGCGCTGCGACTGGCAACCGGTATCCTCCTCAAAAATAACCTACTCCAACTTGCTCTAACCTGCTCCAATTTTCTTGTCCCCAGCAGAGTGGCCGTGCAAGAACTCAAAATAGTATATGGGTGGAAGGGAACCTGATCAATAGGAATCCAAGCTGCGAGAACTTGCACAAGCCACTATTTGCCTATCTGCTGAATCCTTCGACATTGCCCCATCAAAAATAGCGACCGAGTTTTCTAGAACACCTTGGGAAATTCGTATATTTGATTTGATATACTCCCTCGCTTTTTCTTATGATTTCGTGTTCAGTTGCTGGCCGAATTGCCTCCTGTTCCGGTGTTCATTCTGGCGGCGATCAGCGGTCCACGGGTTATCAACGAGATTCCTGTATGCATTTGGAACACAGCTGGAGTGTTTCTAGGACTTTGCAATATGAGCCTGTCGTTCTTCGTCTACTTCACTCTATCACAAAAATTCCGACAAATGGTCTGCGAGTGAGTTTCAGCCATTTGTTTCTGTACGGTCCCTGAAAATGCTGAATATGATTCCGAGACTACTCTTGCTGATTGATCTTCGTTGGGATTTGACTCCTGGCTTAGAGGAGAGCTAGGGGGTGGGGGGAGGAGGGGGGGGGGGAAGAGAATCTATTTTTCACCTATTGGGAAGAAAAGTTACCTGGGATACCTTTATCGGCTTTGCAAGATGCAGGAATATAGAAAATGCTCACTTCACTTTTCTGGTGAGGAGGTGAGGGATTGCAGTTGTGTAACAGAGCATACGTGAATACTTACTCAATCTTACTCAAGAAACTAGCAAGC